AAGAAAGAGGAGTATCTTTGTCATAACCCTCCGCGAAATCTGTAAAGGAAGAGGTAGCCCATTAGGGAAGTTAAGTTGCTTTTGTTCCATCTTAAAAATTCAAAATAATATTGTGATGAAGTTTAAACCAATGTTGAATTGATTAACTACGCATTTTAAAAATTGCTACACGCATGTAGCACTGTGTTTCTAATCAGTTTAGTAAAGCTGTTGTACCCAGTTTACTGGGTCTGTTGCAGAGGGAGTTCGTGTCAGTATGTGGTATTAGAATTACAGTTAATCATATGGAAGGTATACAAACGTGTATTTTACCACGATAGCTATAATGTAAGTCGTATTGGTATATATGAAATAATGCCATGATGTACTGATATTAGGCATGCATAATGCCATCTTTAGAAAAAGCATTCATAATATATACCCAGTAATAAATTACTTGTTTTCTCTCTTTCGGGGGGAGTACATTTTCTTAAGCTTTTTGTTTTCACAGAAAAAGTGGAGACGCTTTCAAGACACATGCTATACGATGGTATTGCTAATACATTTATTGTGGACAATAATAAATTCCGATAAGAGTAAGCTATGCACTTACTTCGAAACTAAAAATCAACCTGGTTATCAGTATAGCTAATCAAATATATTTTTCTTACTTGTTTGTTTGTTTATGAATTTCGCGCAAAGCTACACTAGGGCTATCTGCGCTAGCCGTCCCTAATTTAGCAGTGGGAAAGCAGCTAGTCATCACCACCCACCGCCAACTGTTGGGCTACTCTTTTACCAACGAATGGTGGGATTGACCGTCACATTATAACGCCCCCACGGCTGAAAGGGCGATCATGTTTGGCGGGACGGGGATTCGAACCCACGACCCGCACATTGCGAGCCGGGCCAGATTTTCTTACTTTCCTACTTATGAAGATTAGAATGTATTGTTTCATTTGTTGGGTGCCCTTGCTGTTAACTATGTTTTCGGCTGTAAATCCAACAACGTCTCACGAGGCTCAGCTATCTTAGGAGATTTAGGTTAGTCCTAAATACAAATTCTAAGCTAACAATACAATACAATCTTTATAATAAAAGTGTAATAATAAACTGCAAATAAAAATAAATAAATAATCACATTCGATATGCTAACTAGTATAACCATATTAAAGCCACGTGTATAGTAAGAAGATAAATAATTTCCATATATTTATGTTTTCATCAATATTTCAAATGTCTAAAAAGTACAAGTAGTCATACTATTTCTAACAGTAGTGTGGTAAATGTAATCAAGGCTTCTAGGACAGAAATACCAGTTGACAAACTTGTAGAAATAAAAGTTTTGGCTGGCGTATGGTTCTTAGTGTGACTGATTAAGAAGAAATTTCATGTTTCATGTATGGAAAATCTTAACAAGTAATGTTGGTAATAAAAGCAATCGATGTAAAAAGTCCAACCTCTTCAAATGAAGTATAGATGTCAGTGTTACTGCCAGAACACATTAGCACGAAATGGCCTCGCTGGATTTGTAGCTGCTCAAAAAACCACTGCTTAGAAGAAATAACCAAACCCAAAGACTGAAATGGTCAAAAGGCGTCAAAATATAGAATGATCAAAGCTGGAAGAAGGTACTTTTTTACAGATTAAGCTAAATCACTTTTGTTTGGCAACATCAACGACGGTTTGTTCGATAGCAGAGAGCAGTACGGTGTCGCAATCACCGTACAACATTTATAGTGAAGCATTTGGGGACCAATACAAGTGTGGATTGCATCTCAGCCAATGGGGTTGGAAGTCCACACAAAACTGATGATACCATAACAGCTTATAGGTACAGTCTAATTTGTATGCATCATATCATTCCCTGAGGAACAAGGCCTGTTGGGAAGGGATTCATCTTCCATCTAGACAGTGATTTTAAGCAGGCGATAAATGTAGTGAAATGATACCTGAAGGATAAAAGGAACGTTGGAACATTCGCAACCATGGCCTGACATGCATTAAATCCCCATATGAATACTATTGAAACTGAATAGGTTTATATGGAAACTGAAAAGATCAAACGTCAACCAGGCAACTTGAGTGAGTTGTGGGAATACTTGGAACAGTATTTCTCAATTATATATTGATAAAATTATGGTAGCATAAAAACCAGGCGTATACTTCCCTACTTAGTTAAAAGAAATATAAAATACTACAGTTCATTCGGTTTTCATTATATTGTACTAATGATAAATGGACTATATATATATGTAATACCTTGTGCGTTTCTATAATAACTTTCAATACTGTATATACAGGTATCTAGTGTAAGCATATTTCATTCCCTATTTAACAATTAATTATTTTTCTATTTCAGAGAAAATCTTTTGAATGAACCGAAAGAAGTAAGTGTTTTAAAGTTGTTCATATTCTATTGGTAACATGATATTTATATTACATTGCTGTAATTATGCTAAATTAAAGCATTATATGTGTAGGAGATTTACGAACTGTTTTGAGGTGTCAGTATATATTATGTTGAGAGTTGATTGATGGAGGGACATAGTAATCTGTGTATTTTTAGTTATTGTCTGCATTTGAAAAAAACACGATTTAGCAGGTAGAACTTGATTTATTTAAAAAATATGGTAATATTCAATTTGGATGCGTTTGTATAATTACTTTAAAAGCTAATCAATAATATATATATATATATATTTATTCATTTTATTTTTTAGGGAGAACCACGAACAGTAAAAGCTGTATTTCATTCAAAATATAACTCACCCATGGATTTGTATTCGAAAGAAAACGTAGCTGATACTCTGGCTCAACACGCTGAAGTTATAACGGATGGTTTTAACGGGTAACTAAATTTTTTTTAATATATTTAGTTGTATCAAGTGATTTATTTTATTATAAATAGGTGTACATAGATATTCTTGTTTCATGTTTTAAAAAAGTATTAAGTATAAATAGGCAGATTTGAACAGCATTTTTTTTCGTGAAATACAAAATCAACAAATGTAAAGCAGTATCAAGGTATATTTATTGGATATTGTCAAGTATATATATGTACGGTTCGTTCCCCGGATGAGATGCCACCACCTTTGCCTGGTCCCAAGTCCAGGATGAGAAAGGAGGAGGGTTGGGCGCAGGGCTAGCAACTTCGCCCCGTAAAAACCAAACTGCTAAAAAATTACTGCAACAACAACTTCCGTCGGCGAGGGGTTGTTAGGGCCCTATTCTCCAGTGGGAGTCGACAGGGATTATTTATATATATGTACAACAACCAGTAAAGATACATACAGTTTATCCTCAACATAAACAGTTCATAATATTTTGGTATACTAAATTTCTTTGTTTACAAAACGATCAGCTGCCTGATGCCAAAACCGTAAGTGGGGGGGGGGGGGGCGCATAATGCTAAAAATTAAGATTTGGTTCACATGACGGGCAAGCAAAGATAGCCCATTGTGTAGCTTTGCGCTTAAGAACAAAAACAAACATAGTGATCATTATTAAGCGGTGCTAAATTTGATAAACCATGATTATCCATGATAATAAATTATATTGGTTGTATTTTGTACATAAGTAAGTACAGTTATATTATAACATAGAGCTATTAGCCATTGTACCATACTTTAAACCAACATGTTAACATACATGCGCCCCCCCCCCCGTGGCACAACGGTAAGTCCATAAATATAGCAGTAAATCTTTTCAGCTTTGTTAGTTAGTTAATTAAAAAATAATATAAAACACAGTGAAAAGGGGGAAAAATAGCTTTTCAATGAAAATTCTCATGATGGAATGGCACTGTTGATAGCTTTGGCTTTCTTACTGCCAAACGAATTTACCATTTCCTGATTTTAAATATCCGTTTGTTGTTGGCGTTTCTGAAGATCTTGAAGTTTATCGATCTCATCAAAATTTGGACGTGAATTTTGTGTATGTTTGGGTTTGAAAGTGCTTTCAAGTGTGACAAGAATTAGATATATAGTGATTTATTCGAAGAAAGCGCTTAGAAACTACAATATAGTCTTAAACGAATTCGGGAAGGAAAATAAACATAAATACTCATGACCGTTTTAAACAATATGATCATCAGTAATTCTACACTCTTTGTCTTAAGACACTCCACTAACATTCTGTAGGGTTATTTGTTACTTTACCATAAAAAGGTGTTATGGAACACTTCAGTGAACAACGCAATAGCATATATTTATGTTTTTTCTCCCCCAAAACATGTTTGCTTAAAGGTTAAATCAACCGGTTATGTGGGCCATTAAGGATTTTCCAACACAGAATGTTTCTGATGTGTACAATAAATTAACTTTCTGATGATTATATACATGTACTAGGTTGTTCACATATTGCATTTGTCTCTTTGCAATAGATCCGATTTCAAGCCTAGCTGCACAAGTCCAATATCTCTTCCTCCTGTCATCCAGAGATCCGCTGTCCTTCAGGCTTTGCAGCAGGAGGAATCAAAAGGTTAAGATATCTGATATGTTTTTTAAACGAACAATATATTTTTATGTGATCAATTTCGCGTTTTAAATATATTTGATGGCATTGATTTTTAACCGTACGAAATCTATATGATTGACTACATAGGGGTATATTTGCTTGATTTATAAATCCCTTGTATGTATAAATACGGAAGCTTTTATTAGTGTCACTCTAGTTTAAGTAATTCTGAAGATGTTGCACTAAATAAAAATTATTTACTTGTGAAGTTAGAGGTATTTCTTCCTCTATATAGTCTTTACGAATGGGAAATAAACCATTTATCAATATAATTGCAATTAATGGATTAATGATGGGGAAACCGAAGTCTAATAATGGAGATGAAGACAGTTGATAAAACACAAAACATTATATTTACAAGGTTCGAATGTTTCGGAATAACTTATCCCATCTTCAGCGAAATCTGAAAATCATGTTACAAAGATGACTATTTTAGTTAATAATCATCTTTGTAACACTATTTACAGGTTCCGCTGAAGATGGAATAAGTTATTTCGAAACGTTCGAACCTTGTAAATATAATGTTTTATGTTTTATCAACTGTCTTCATCGCCATTATTAATGGCAGTTTATTATCAGTTATAATTAGTGAGCACTTAAGTTTGTTATTGTGGTATATATATATAGCATGCTTAAACTAAGTGACAAATGTAAACTTTAGTTTTTAATGAATATATTTATAGACAATCAATTTGAAGTGGACTAAATACACCGATTCCATTAAAACATAAACCATCAAAGACATGTGTCGTACATGTCCCATCAGGATGCTTACGTGACCATTTAAACATTTAACCAACTTGCTCTTTTTAGAAACGGCTTGGTTTCCAGTGTCTAAACTGTAACTTTATAGACGTGCACAAATTTTTCACGTTCAACTGATTTCTCGTGGTAAAATATCTGAAAGTTTAATCTTGAAACTTAAAAGAGGATGAAATATTTAACTATTAACAATATTTTATTGTCTGTTATCTTTTCAGGAATAAACTATATGAATGGCCCATCCACACCTCCAGTACAAAAGTAAGCTATACACAAACTGCGATGTAATATGATTTAATATTCAAATAAGAACTCTCTTTGTTTGACCTTGCAGAAGAAACTGGTTTTATAGTTATATATTTCGTGGTTCCATATAGATGTTTAAAAGAAAGCAAAAGTTAATTAACCATTAGCATAAAGCATATCTTTAAACGTGCAATGTAACAGAATCTTCATAATGTGATTCCTTTTTGTTCACAGAAAACAGCCACCACCGCCTCCGCCTAAGCCTATACCTCCAGTTCGTAGTCAGATCTTGAAGTCACCACCTGGAGGTAAAACATCGCCAACTTATTACTCTTATCTCACTCAGCAACCTCAGATTATTTCATCCTCATGCACATCTCAAGACATTTCTTATTCTGGTCAGTATGTTCATCAAGAAGGTATCAGGACTCCTACTTATCAGCAGCAACAACAGTTTTATCAAACACCACGACCTTTTTCTCCCAGTAGTTACAAACAGCCTCTACTTCATCAGATGACTTCGATGCCAGACTACTGTCAACAAATAGCAATTCCGAAGATTACCGATCAACCACACTACCCACAAAACACGATGCCCTCTCGTGTTTTTCAACCATCATATCAACACACATCAACTAGTGTCCAACGAACGTATCAACAGCAAACCATACCTTCGGTTCCCACTCAACCATCATATCAACAACCAAGGACTCCCCCAGCTGCTACATCCCCCACTCAATTATCTTATCAACAATCAACCATGCACACAATTACTTCAAGTCCCACTCAACCCCCATATGAAAAAATCAGCCCTGCCTTAGCTACTACACAACCAACGCATCAACAACTAACCACTACCCCCGTCACTGCACGTACTACTCAACCATCATACGAAAAGCTAAGCTCCACCTTAGACACTTCACAACCTACACAAACATCATATCAAAAACCGAGCTCAAACATAACCACTTCACGTCCTATACAGCCATCGTATCAAAAACCAACCACTCCCCCAATTGATGCACGCCCTACTCAATCATCGAACCAACAACCAATTGTAACCGTAACGTCTAGGGTTACCGATCAAAAAACTTATCAACAATCAACGACTACACGTGTTCAACCTAATTATAAACAAAAAACCACCCCCTCCGTCACAGATGGAGTCATGCACCTAACTAATCCACAAGCAACAACTGATTCAGCTACAACAACTGTCACACACTCACAATATGAGAAACCATCAAAAATGCCATATTCCACGGCCACTGTTATCATTCATACAAAAGTGACCCCACCATCTTCTACACCTAAAGATGTTCAGAAAAACTACCAAAAAGCGGTTGAGCAAATCTCTTCTCCCGTTCAGACTTCAACACTTTCTTGGGGACAAACGCAAGAACAAAATCGTCCACCAAGTCAAACTCAAACGACTGGGACGTCACCCAGTCCAACTGCATCACCTACACCATCTTATAAAATTAGAACCTCAGAAGGAATCTGGCCACCCAAGGTAAATCTTTCTCACTCTCTCTTATTTTTGTTATTTAGATATGTGACTAGCATATAGACTCGGCAACGTATGCCAGAAAAGAAAGTAATTTGACGTTTTATAAAAGGCAACACATTGAAAAACCAAAGAGGAGAGTAAATCATTTCAGAAATCTTAAACACGAAAGAGGATATGTAGTTCTAATCTGAGCCATTTAAAATTTTATTTAGATCAGTGTCTTAAAAGCAGCGTTTTCAAACACTAATTTCAAAATTATACTGCGTTAAATTAATACTTTGTCAATAATTTCTTTACATTACGTTGTAGTATGCAAGACTTTCTGTATTTTTTACCTATAAATTTACTTTCGATCATTCAAAGAGTCATATATTATGGCGTAATAATCAAGTAAATTATCTCTGTTTTATATATATTTATTGTAATTGCAATAAATAAAACTACATACTATTCTACAAGTAAAACAAAAATTTATTAGCAACATTTTACATAAAACTACATACTATTCTACAAGTAAAACAAAAATTTATTAGCAACATTTTAAATAAAACTACACTACTCTACACGGTAAAAGAAAAATGTATCAGCAACATTTTAAATAAAGCTACACTATTCTACACGGTAATAGAAAAATGTATTAGCAACATTTAAAATAAAACTATACTACTCTACACAGTAAAATAAAACTTTATCAGCAACATTTTAAATAAAATCACAATACTCTACAGGTAAAAGAAAAATTTATAAGCAACATTTCCTGTTTATCTTATAACAGCCTCATCAGAACATAATATATTTCTTCCATTCGTCATATGATATCAAAAATAAGTCAACCTACTGATTGCACATGGAAATCCATAAATGTGTTTTCAAGAACAACAACAACAAAAGATTAGACTGTTCCTAAATATTATAACTATATTTTAAATTTCTACTCGAACAATTTATTTTTTTCTGTAGAATCCTACTTCAAAAGAATTACCAAAAATAGGGTTCTCGTCAGGATGGACAAAAGAGAGTAAGTACACACATTGACTGATGGCTTCACATTGTTTTAAAGTACATGTGTTAATACGCATTAGTGCTTTAGTCAGCCTTAGATATGCATTCCTACAGAACTGACTACTAAAACTTCAACATTACATATATGTTATGTTTAGGCTTTTTATATATATATATTTATTATAACTCAAGTGACTACTTTCCAGTAAAAATATATTTGAAAAAATTACGTGCTTATTTGTTTCGTAAAGTGTCATCATTAAATCATTTATACTCTGTGTGTGTATTAGTTTCAATATTTATTGTTTTAGATATTAGTGATACAGTTTATTGTAAGGGTATTTAGATGCATTGATTTCTTGATGTTATAGTATTACGTTCTTTCTCTAGTCAGTCATGGAAAGAATATGACTTGGCCACCCCAAAAACCTGACGAATGTAGAGGTAATACGACACCAACCCTTACCTCTCGTACAGGTGCTATTACCAGTGCTTGGAATCTTCGTCCATCAACACCCCCTTCTCGCACTCCTCCATTTGCAGGAGGATCTCCTTTACCAGGCCGTAGGAACAAGGATTTGCTTTGGCCACCTCAGACTAATGAAAAGCAAAATGTTAAAAAGTCCTCTTCTAAGCCTTTAAAGAAGGCTCATAGCTTCGAGGAATGCATTATTCAACACGCTAGTGTTACTGTCCCTCGCACTTACCGTCCACCCCCTGATATCCACCAGGTGTAACCTACCATGGAGTAGGTTTAAGTGCTTAACGTTATTATGATTGAAATTTTGCTTTTTAGAATTCTAGAGAATCATTGTGTGTTTTGAGACTAAAACAAATACTAGTTTCCTTTAATTTTGATGTCAATTATAATTGATTTACAATCCACACGAACTTTGTCTGCAAAGTCATATTCATAGTTACGATACTTATATTTGATAAGCTTTTCTCACCTTAGAAATAATTTATAATTGTTCTTACAAATGCGTTTAAAAGTAGTTGGAGTTTTATTGTTATTGTTACTTGATTCTAAAAAGACTTTTAACTAGGATTTTTTTTTCATATTGCTTAATTAACAAAATTATAAAAAAAACAACAAATACTCATGAAATTTTATTTTATATATAATTTTTCAACTAACACTTCTCGTTTTCAGAGAAATATTAATCTAAACTACGATGCCACCGAATAATAAATAATATTCTTAATAAATCTTCCAAGTCCAGAAATTCAATTTATCTTCAATAACAAATTAAATCTTCATAAGAACAATGGATGCTTTTTAAAATAACATTTCAGAAGTTTAACTTCATGTGAGATACTATGGAAGATGGTGATTTTTCAGGAACCATACTAGAGATCAAATGTGGGTACATTTCAACGTTTTAGGTAATGTGACTAAAAAAAAAAACAACAGAATTTTACATTTCAAGTAGTCAACGTTTAATAACTTCCACTAACCAGACATTATCAAATATTTTAATACTGAAACACAAATAAATTTTAATTAATAAGATTTATCTAAATGGCATGTAGTTTGAATTTTGATGTATTAACTGTGGATTTACGCACTTGTAGTGACGTCAAACTCATTAAATATTTTTGTTCGATAAACGGCTGTACGCAATTATGATTTGTTTGCTCGTTTACTTCTTTGTTGTAAGCATAAAGCTACACAAAGGGGTAAATGTACTCTTTTTTTTTTTTTCCACCGAGTGTATCAAACCCCATTTTTTAGCGTTATAAGGCATCAGACTTACTAACGAGCCACGAGGGTTCGAAGCTATAAATTTCCATCGTTTAATATTTCGTTAAACATTTTTATTTTATTGCTTTTTAACTTAATAAAAGACACGGTCTTTAAAAGTGTATTTATATAAAAGCAAAAGTCGGCGACTTTAAGCTTGAGAAGAATGTTAGTCTTGTTGACTTCTTCACAATGCCGTAAGGAAGGAGAGTTATATCATCAGTTACGACGTGCTGACATCTAGAGAACATATATGTAATTATTGTTCATGTGATCCCATGCATATACACACTGACGTATGGGTGTGAATCTGAACGAATAATCAAAGTGCGGTTGCAATTTTTTGTTTTCGAACAACTTTGATTTAAGGTAATCACATTGAATGTTTTATGGTTAAAAAGTAGAAACTTCGTGGAGTTTTTCTTTCTTGATCACTGAGGAATTACAGACAGCCGAAGATACTGTAAAAGAAATACAGGGGGCTGTCTTACCATACCCCAATTACGTATACTCACACCATATTTTTCGGTCGTAATGTAAGTCAATGACGCACAATAGTACTCACTTTCTTTGCGCCATAGTCCTAGATAATGAGCAACTTGCGTATAACGCACGGGCTTTCCGATCCTTGCTGGGAACATTTAAATGATTTAAATAAAGTTTCTAAATACAGCATTTGTTTTAAATTGCAGTTGTTACGAGTTATATGAGGGCCATTTTACCATATCTTGGAGTCCATTTTATCTAACCTTATAAGTAAAATGTTCCCAACTACAAAAATTGCATTTTTGAAATATCTACAAAAGATCTATGTCCAGTCTTTGTTTTAACTAAAAATGACATTTATAATAAAATATGGCTCATTTTATAACCATTTGCTTTTTCATGAAATTCATTGTAATTACTGAAAACCATGTTTAAGTTCAGGGTGACCGTCTTACCCAACCTTCCCTTTCTCAATAAAAAGGTCTTTTACGATAGAGATTTGGTTCCACAGACAAAGAAGCAAGTTTTTAATTCAGTTGTATGAACAGCCTCTATAAATATAATTGGTAAGACATAAAGTATGCCCCTTAAGGTATAGAAAAACGCGAACAAAACATCTCTTCTAGGTATATTTCATTGTTTTCAACTTATTGTGTTGTCGCTTTACTCGTTAACTGCAAATCGGTAGAAATTTTATCTTCTAATTTAATTTAATAACGGAAACTATTTTATTAAAAGACGGAATGTTCTTCGTTATCGTGCTTGACTCAACAATAATCATTTTTAACAGCTTTGACGTCCTCTTCACAAATGGACCGTTTTCTTTAAAATGTATTCTTACAGTATATTTCTATAGTTTTTGTAGGCCGTAGGATGATAGATTGCTTGATTGTTCTGGAATTAAGCGCAAAGCTACACAATGGGCTGTCTGTGCTCTGCCCACCACGGGTATCTAAACCCGGTTTCTAGCGGTGTGAGTCCGCAGACATACAGCCGTGCCACTAGGAGGCGTCGTAGGGTTTACCAAACATATTGTCTACATGTAATAAGGTTTTGTTGTTAAATAAATTATTAACAGACTTAAATTTGATTCGATTTAGATCTTTCATATTTCACAGTTGTTAGTTTTTAAACTTTTAAATTGTCTAACACATTTATTACTTTTAATGAAAACCTACTGAAACATAATGAACCTAATATAAATTTATAAATCTTCAATCATTACAGCTACACATCAGATTTGCAGAATGTTGGAAACAGTATACAACTTGATTGTTTAGTAAGAAATACTACTCAGTGAAGTTCAATGATTTTCATTATTTTTTCAATAACAGTGTAACGAAATGCTTGTTATTAATAACGTAAAATACTTATTTATTACAACAAGGACTTTTTGATTTTCAAAAGCATTTCGGCCCGGCATGGCCAGGTGGTTAGAGTGCTCAACTCGCAATCTGCGGGTCGCGGGTTCGAATCCCCGTCCCACCAAACATGCTCGCCCTTTCAGCCGTGGGGGCATTATAATGTGACGGTCAATCCCACTGTTTGTTGATAAAAGTGTAGCCCAAGAGTTGGCGGTGGGTGGTGATGACTAGCTGCCTTCCATGTAGTCTTATACTGCTAAATTAGGGACGGCTAGCGCAGATAGTCCTCGTGTAGCTTTGCGCGAAATTAAAAAACAAAGTAACAAACAATTAAAGGCAGTTATTTGATTCGTGTAAATATATATTATCACTTTAATATAATGATAGATATTGTTTTAATAAAGAAACAAATTATAGACTAGCTTTAATTTACTTCCTTACTCGTGGTTCTGACATTTCTTCAGAAAAATCAATAAAATCACACATAAAATGAAAGGAATAACACATATGTATACCTACAACTTTAAACAGTTTTTCTGTTTACGTTTGTCTTGATTGTAAATCACCAAACCTTTATTTAGTAATTTATAAAATGAACTACATCAAAGTTAAATCATCTTAAGTTACTTTAGAAGAGCCGACTAATTCTACATCCCGTGACACGAATTATTATAAGTACTTTTCAATATCTTCTAGAGTTGATAGTGACCTCTATATCATATACTTGATCAAACTGTCTTTCTTGCACAATACGAGTTTAAAATGGATTCGAAAAGATTCCAAATTTTGAAGTTATATTTTATATATGTACCCATACGTCACTTTTGTTTGAAGCCGGCTTCACGTAGTGGAAATTGAAATAGTTATCAAATTCAAACCGAATGTCCGATTGCTTATCCATCCCAACTTAATATTTGCGGAACAGACCGAGTTCCTTTACCAAATTTCATCCAGCTCCTCACAGTAATATGTTACATCAAGATATCGGGTAGACAGTGGACAAGCTTGTTTTATATGTAGAGATATATGCGAGTGTGAGTTTCTCTTTTTTTGGTTGGAGTGGTGACCTATAATTAAAATCGACTATAGTCTAAAAAATAATTCCCGTTTAGTATCATTTATTTTCAAAACTTACATCTCATTTATAACCAATAAGACATTTATTAATAAACCATAAAGGTAAACAAGTAATGATGGCCTTCAAACTCATATTATGGATGATTAATAGATCTATCTTATAACAAAACACCAGTACAGCGTGACTACACATATTACCTAACTACATTTTTTTTCATAAAAGTTCCATTTCAGTATTTAAAACATGTAAGATATGACACCAGAATTCCCATTTTAGACATTTAAGAAAGTGGCACAGCGATATGTCTGCGGACTTACATCGCTAGAATCCGGGTTTCGATACTCGTGGTGGGCAGAGCACAGATAGCCCATTGTGTAGCTTTGTGCTTAATTACAAACAAACTCTCCATGAATTACATAAACATAATCCCAATAAACACAATTTATTATATGACCAGTCCAGTTACATTTTTAATAGTAATATCTTGTTATTTGTGGATCCATTGATTTTTTTTTTGTGACAGGGTCCCAAATAATATACAACAAATTAAACAAGGATATCAACACTATTGCAACAACGTTACTAATTACTGCTGGTGTCCTCTATGTATCTTACACAGAAAATGAGTGATTTCATTCAATTATAAATTTCGCCAGTTCTTCACACCGAGTGTTGTAACATGCATAAACATAAAATCATCAAAACGTTGCAATATATATATATATATACACCACAGATAGTGAAGAGTATAGAAACATTTTGGTACCTTGAGGATTAAGAACGTTTTTCCTTTTCCATTTCTCAATTGGTCTTGTAAAAGTAAACAGATTATAAAAATATTGGACTCACCTCCTACTATGGCTTTCCGCATTATGATTAGTGTAATTTTCACCACACAGTAGATGGTGTCATGCAAGACATCTTGGATGATTTAGTGTTTCGAACTTAGCTCTGTTGTTTGATATTATGGGTGAGGATGATAGCTAAGCTTAGCAATATCTACTTGTTATCCTTAGTTTTCTTTGTCTTGTTTTTTTTTTTCCTGTTGATATAATAATTCAGCAGTTCTTGGTACCTTTTATTAATTTGTATTTCAAGTTAAACGTAGACAACAAAATTTGGTAAAATGACTTTTATGTCTTTTGCCTACTAATGTGATCATACAGCACCACCTGTAGGTATATTGACGAATTAACAGAAATACGTACAGAGTCTTCTCCTGGGCTTTGGGCCTGTAAAATAAAAACAATTTAAAACATTAAAAACAACACTAAAACACACATTTGTAAATAATCCACACAATTTAAAATCAGAAAAGCATACCTTTCTACAATATGAATGTAATAAAACATTGGTCAGTTGTAATTGTGAATTGGATAAACAACTGTTTAAAAAAACAAACACTCTGGGTCAAATAGTAACAAACAAAAATTCTATAGTTCTTGTTATGAATTTACAAGATGTGTAATTACTTGTAATTTCCTCCTCAAACCTGTAGTTAATTGTGACATGTACACATTGACTTACAAGTTTCTGGAACTTAAGGATTCCAATAAAAAAATCTAACATTAAATAATTTGTACTTCTATCCTTAGTTTATCAAATAAGTATTGCTAAAAATTGTACAGGCAGAAGAATACAATTCTGTTCAGAAATAATTATGTGCATATTTTAAATTTCATACCTAGAATAAAGAGAAATGGTTTACATAAAACCATATTTTTAATAAGATCTGAAATCACAATGCATTTTTGAGGAATAAGTGAAGATTTATCAAACACCATAAGTAATTTTAAATTAAATTTAAATGCATTTGTGAATGTAACCCAGGACTTTAAAAGTGCAATCCCTTTATGATATCCTGCACAGAAAATGTAGGACATTGACCCTCTATTCTGGTGGCATATGTTTATATAATTTTTCACAAACCAATTAATTACAATTTAAAAGATTCACATAATCTTTCATAGACTCAAACGTTTGTTTGTAAGCACAAAGATATACGAGTTATCTGTGCTGTGCCAAACACAGGTAACAAAACTTGGTTTTGACATTATAAACCCACTGACTTACCAATGAATTACTAGGAGGCAGTACTAAAAAGAGAATATTTTAACATTCTTTTTACAAAGTAGTATGAATTTAATAATAATGAATCATTACAAGATAGCTACATAACAAAATATAGAAAATATAATGAACATGCAGCATGCAGTAACTGACAAAGGCATAATAATCTGAAAGTGATATATATATAACGAAAGAGTAAGTATCTAGTACAGGGAAATGTACAGTTTTCCATACAGAAATGTTTGTACTAGCTCGAGACTTAAGAATAAAGGTTGCAGTATGTAGCCATTACCCGTATAAAGGATTAGGACTTTTTTTATGATCTTTAGACATCCACTCAATGAGAATGTCATAACTACATGAAGAAAGTACATGAACATTTCACAAAATATTACATGAATATATCTGTATCAAGTTATATTCTATACTAGTTACAAAATGATGAAATTAATAGCTCTTCCAGCTATCACAAGACCACGCTTTTGTCATTTATGTAGATTTTTCATTACTTTTCATCAATGTGACTTTGTAATATAACTCGTACCTTTAATTCAATTTAGGGACTATTATTCTTAGAAATATCCATTTTATGTGAAGACTGTGATATTTAATTTCCTTACAGACTATACAACAATATCTCGTGTTTTATCAAACAACCGACAATGTACATTGTATTTCCTATCAAAAACAAAGTAGTTAGAGTACTAGGTTATTTTTCCTAACAAAAAACTAAGTACTTTTGTTCCCTAATACTGTTACATAAAACATTACAGCACATACATGCTGTTTGGATGTCAGACCTTGCATTAAATGATGTTTTATGTAGCTTATTAATTTTTACTGAGTAAAATACCTCAGATTGTACAAGCATTAATGCACATAAGAATGGTCAAGTATCTGTGTTGCATAATGAGACACATTTTTATGTAACATTCAAACTAATGAAAAAGTTGAAAAAGCTTCACCACCTTTCTAAGAGCCTGAAACACTGAAATTTTAAGCATTAAACAAAAACTTCTTTGTATTGTAGCTGTACATGAATTGAAGAAAGATTAACTGTAAATCACTAAGAATTTTCTTAACAGTATCAACTGATGTTGACTATACTACCTTAGGATCAACATTCAGAATTTTTCGATCTTTTTTGTTCATAAAGAGGAGACCATCACGATTGTCTGTAATCACTTGGTAATATGGAGTAGGATTGAAAGCTGTGGTTTGAGTCTCCCAGTTGTAGTAGCTGTTTTATTGAAGAAAAATTATTACATTTGACATTGACTTTTGGCAATTATATAGTAAATGCACAACAAAACTACAAGTATATACAACTATAAAGCTCTTTTCAAAGGAGGTGATAAAAATTGTCCCAGCAATTATAGACCCATTAGTCTTACGTCAGTTGT